CCTGCTCTCGTCCTTGGCTGGTCCTATGCTGGTCCTTGGCTGGCCCTTGACTGGTCCTTGGCTGGTCCTATGCTGGTCCTTAGCTGGCCCTTGACTGGTCCTTGGCTGGTCTTTGGCTGGTCCTTGGCTGGTCCTTGGTTGGTCCTTGGCTGGCCATTAGCTGGCCCTTGACTGGTCCTTGGCTGGTCTTTGGCTGGTCCTTGGCTGGCCCTTGGCTGGCCATTAGCTGGCCCTTGGCTGGTCCTATGCTGGCCCTTGGCTGGTCCTTGGCTGGTCCTATGCTGGTCCTTGGCTGGCCCTTGACTGGTCCTTGGCTGGTCCTATGCTGGTCCTATGCTGGCCCTTGGCTGGTCCTATGCTGCTCCTATGCTGGCCCTTGGCTGGTCCTTGGCTGGTCCTATGCTGGCCCTTGACTGGCCCTTGACTGGTCCTTGGCTGGTCCTATGCTGGTCCTTGGCTGGCCATTGACTGGTCCTTGGCTGGTCCTTGGCTGGGCATTGACTGGTCCTTGGCTGGTCCTTGGCTGGCCATTGACTGGTCCTTGGCTGGTCCTTGGCTGGTCCCATGCTGGCCCTTGACTGGTCCTCGGCTGGTCCTTGGCTGGTCCTATGCTGGTCCTTGGCTGGCCATTGACTGGTCCTTGGCTGGTCCTTGGCTGGTCCTATGCTGGTCCTCGGCTGGTCCTTGGCTGGTCCTATGCTGGTCCTTGGCTGGCCATTGACTGGTCCTCGGCTGGTCCTTGGCTGGTCCTATGCTGGTCCTTGGCTGGCCATTGACTGGTCCTTGGCTGGTCCTATGCTGGTCCTATGCTGGCCCTTGGCTGGTCCTTGGCTGGTCCTATGCTGGCCCTTGGCTGGTCCTATGCTGGCCCTTGGCTGGCCATTAGCTGGCCCTTGGCTGGTCCTTGGTTGGTCCTATGCTGGCCCTTGGCTGGTCCTATGCTGGCCCTTGGCTGGCCATTAGCTGGCCCTTGGCTGGTCCTTGGTTGGTCCTTGGCTGGCCATTAGGTGGCCCTTGACTGGTCCTTGGCTGGTCTTTGGCTGGTCCTTGGCTGGTCCTTGGCTGGCCCTTGGCTGGTCCTTGGCTGGCCCTTGGCTGGTCCTTGGCAAAGGAAATAAAATATTTATTTAACAAAGTTGTCATGATGGGTTCTTAGTTTTAAGCCCAAGTTGCAGAACACACACGGGAAAACTGGGTAAAAGTTCAAAGAGTTTATTTCGAACACAAGCACATGAATACTGGAACAGATTAAGGCAGGGGAGCAGGATTACTGGAGACTGTACTGAAACGGGAGATGGTTAGTAAACAGAGTTCATGAAAAGCTAAGCATCTAGCTTTCTGCTTAGCATGGTTGGTCTTGATCTGAGCTTCCAGCTCACTGCAGAAAACAACAGCGGATTAACACGAAGGATTCTTCAGGTTGAGCTTCAAGCTCACAGCAGAGAACAACAGCGGATTAACACGAAGGATTCTTCAGGCTGAGCCTCCAGCTCTTAGCAGGGAACATCAGAGGAAAATCCACATGGGAACCTCTAGAGAAACTCCACATAGAAGTCTTCAGGTTTCATCCACGTAGGAATCTTCGGGTTGGCTCACCAGGGCAGATTAGC